GGACCCATCCAATTTCCATGCCAGAATGCAATAAAACTGCATGCCACCTCCTCATTAGAAGATTCTCCTGCTTCAAAATTTAAAGTTCACTCTCCATTATATAGTCCATTCATTTTTACTAAAAAAAATTAAAAATCACATTAACGTCTGAGAGTTAAGCTATTAAATAAGCATGCACTCTAAGTCATCTTAAGGATGACCCTCAGACCAAGAAAATGAGACTATAACCCCAGCTGAAGGCAAACAAATTCAAAGAAAGAACAATTCAGCCAGAAGGGTGACTGGTCAGTCAAGGAAGCAGAAACAAGCAGAGACCCAAAACCTAACACCAGCAGTAAGCAAAAAACATCATGCTGGGAAGAAGATGAGCAGTCTCCAGTTTCTAGGTAATTTAGTACGTAGATAGCTACCTATTGTGGAGGAAGTTGCATCATGTTATACGTTGGAATTGCATAACTAATGTCCGTTGTTCTCATTTCATGCTTAATAAGGAAAATTCTGATAACTTGATTTTCCCAGCAGATTAGCCTACCAGGAAGAAGGTGCTGATCAGGCCAACCTGAAAAATATGGTCCACTTGACCAGATTGACAATAATTCTCATTGTAAATTAATAAATTAGCTTACTTTAGTTAAGCAAATACACTGTATATTTACATTGTGAAAATACACTGGAAGTGCTTTACATATTTTACACACTCAATAAATATTTAACAGTTTGATTTAAAATAAGCCTCATCTGGTCTTTGGTCATTGGTGTTCAATGCATCAAATCTATTCTTGAGATGGTCTCTATATTCAGGGGGGATATACCCAAGGTCGTACTTTGGCTCTCGTGGACTTGTTTGAATATTCTTCAGCTTCAACTTGAACTTGCATATGAAGAATTGATAGTCTGTTCTAAAGTCCGCCCCTGCCCTTATTCTGACTGAAGATATTGAACTTTTCCACCTTCTCTTTCCACAGATGTAGTAGATTTGATTCCTTTGTATTCCATCTGGCGAGGTCCACATGTATAGCTGCTATTTATTTTGTTGAAAAATGATCATGAAGATGGCATGAGACTGGGAAGTGTTTTGTTCTGTTGTACATAGGGTTGCTATGAGTTGGAACAAACTCAACAGCACCTAATAACCACAACTACAATGAATTTTATTCATGGACTGGAAAAAAATTTTGCATTTTTTTTTTTATTGTGCTTTAGGAAGGATATTGGTCTCTAATTTTCTTTTTTTGTGGTGTCTTCACCTGGTTTTGGTATCAGAGTAATGCTGGCTTCATAGAAGGAGTTTGGGAGTATTCCATCCTTTTCTGTGCTCTGAAACACCTTTAGTAGTAATGGTGTTAACTCTTCTCTGAAAGTTTCGTAGAATTCTCCAGTAAAGCCATCCTGGCCAGGGCTTTTTTTGTTGGGAGTTTTTTAATTACCTTTTCATTCTCTTCTTTTGTTATGGGTTTATTTAGTCATTCTACCTCTGTGTTAGTTTAGGTAGGTAGTGAGTTTCTAGAAATTTGTCCATTTCCTCTAGGTTTTCAAATTTCTTAGGGTACAATTTTTCATAGTATTCTTATAATTCTTTTAATTTCAGCTGGGTCTGTTGTGATATCACCCATCTCATTTCTTATTTGGGTTGTTTGCTTCCTCTCCTGTTTTTCTTTTGTCAGTTTGGCCAATGGTTTATCAATTTTGTTGATCTTTTC